AATGGAGTCAGGCGTCATGCGGAGGTATGATAGGAATCATGAAAGAAATCAACATGCTAGAAATTGTAGCTACCAGGATCCTCTTCATCAGCCTCCTCATTCTCCTCACCCTCCTGCGTCGTCGCTGCATCTCTTTTATCTAACGCAAGATTAATGAAAACTAAAGTGACTTCTGCGGAAGACGCGGGGAAGCAGAGAGGTCTAAAAATGGCAGGTGAAACCCAGCCGTTGTTCTTTCCACATCTATGATTTCTTCCTGCGTCACTGCAGTACATTCTTCAGCTAATGTCCCCTTTTATTTACTGGTATAAACTGGGGGTTGGACTATTAGACTCTATCTTGCCTCCCGAATATCGATCGATGCTAACTTGAGACGCGTACGCCGCTCTCAGCAGATTGCCGCATAAGAGCTAATGTTTGGGGGTTATTGCAGACAATGTCTGCAGTCGTACGTGGAAGGAAGCGGAACTACTGCTATAGGTACTTGTGAAGGTATAAGAGGGTTCAACTATCCAGCCAACTTCATCGTCCGCACACAATGGAGCCTGTATACTATCAAAGGACTCTTATTGATCTCATCGGACAATCCCTCACATCCAGCTTGCCTTCCTGCCAATCGCAGAAACGACTGACGTTGATCTGGTTACATTTACTTTCAAGTTCGCCAGTTTTGATGCAGACAAGTCTGGGCAGGAGAGAGAGGAAAAAGCCCTTTAATATTTTGACGTCATCCATGAAGTGCGTCAAACACACAGGTCTCAAAAACATGGCACGCGAGGGTAGTTAAAGGATAAGAGATGAATTTTGACGCACCTTAATCCGCCAAAAGGATCGCTAGTCTCTGCTATGCAGAGATCGAAAGCGAAAACAAGAGCCGCGAATACATAAATACCATGCTGCATGTGCTCCAACCTTGCTTCTACTTCGTACGGTTGTTATCACGCCTGATCTAGCCGGTCTCGGTGATGTCGCGGATTGTATCTCTCCACGCCTAATTATTTGCAGCAGCGGATCCGGAGAGCCCGCTCCACCCTCTTATCCAGAAACCGAAGCTGAAAGCCGGAGGTATAAGCACCACCCCCCTACCTCGACGGACTGTCATGATTTGGATTTTGAGATGATCACCCATCCTACGCCTTCAAGTTAGACAGCAACACTGAACTCATGGAAAATGCCCAAACAACCTCATTCGTATTTCTTCGATGACATGCGATATGCTCCAATCTTGCCGTAGTAAGTGCGAACTGTCTGACTAGAGGCGAAGTTAGCGTACTTCATCCGAAGGATGGTTCTCAGGCAACGGTCATTAATCACCTACAGTTTCCGATAGCCCAGTTTTGTGAACCACACCAGAGGACTGACCGAACAGATGTCCTATACATGCAGATCTCTCTGGCGATGGAGATGGTGCGTCGAGCCCAAGGGTGTGCCTGCTAAGACTGTGCACTGGCAGACTTCGAGCAATAGGTCGAAGAGACGCTCGCATATTCCAACATCCAATATCAAGAGCTCGTTCCTGATTGAGCAGACCTGGGCACACGCTATTCGCCCGCACCACTGGACCAGGGTTGTGGAGCGCGTTGGTACCCGCAAACGTTACAGAATGGGTCGCAGTGGTTGAATCAGACATGTTCACGAGATTTCTCTGGAAGTTTGAGTACAAGCGTGTCCCTAACAGCCGCTCTGATTGTTTGCTCAAGGTTGTCTACTCCAGCGCCTTGGCCCAACACTCTAGCACAAGGCAGCCGCGAAAAACAAACACATTTAGTAGTAGTTCAGGATCACCACATCAGTAAGGATTACTTACTTGGCACCTCGAGCAGGATATAAGAACAGGAACCGCCCACAATACGGGGGGCTTCGGGCGAAATTCCAAGGAAATATGGTTAGGTTTAAGGCCATAGGTAGGACTAAGTCAAGAACTAGGTAAGTTGGAGTCAAGGTAAGGACTACTGTTGACTGAAGACGTAAGGCTTAGGGTGGGAGTGGAGTGAGAGCTACGGACGAATTCGACAGATTTAAAACCCAAAATCGACTGAGGCGGGAAACTAGTTCGCTTCCGAACGTAAGGGTTATTTATATTGGCTCCCTAAACAGGGCATAAGAACAGGAAGCGCTCGCAATACAGGTGGCTTTGCGCCAAATTCCAGGGAAGTTAGGGTTAGGTTTGGGGTTAAGTGAAGGGCTACGGCTAGGGTCAGTGTTAACTGCTGTGTTAGGGTTTAAGGTAGGGTTAGGGTTAAGATTAGGACGACGGTCTAGGTCTGTGTTACGGCTAGTGTTAAGAAACGGAAATATTTACACTTCCTGAGATTGTGTGTCCGGCCACTTTTATTACTTAAGCAGGGCCTTCCTATTCCCGTGACCTGCATAAGGAGCCATACAAGTAACCCTTACGGCCATGTTCCAATAACGCTATTGGGCTCTGCGGTACTTCCTAGGGTAGTCGGCAGACCAGCTCAGGGTCCTCCGCATCCTAGAGGCAATATCGCTGCCATTCTGCGACTGCTTATTCGTCATGTCCGAAAGCCAACTTATTCCGCGTCCAACTATCGCTGAAGACTGTCCCATTATCCACCACCTGTGGTAGCCAACAGTTAGGCCCGTGTTCGCGAGTTGGCGTAATTATCTAACCTAGCAGAGCGGATGATTAGTATGAACTCTTACGGTCTCCATGCGTATTACTGACCTTTTCTTTACGAAAGGGCAGTAAGGGACGGGTGACTGACAATAGAATGTGCGTCCACAGGTCCGACTGTTGTCTGAGGGCAAACACACTTCGTCCTCCGATGGCAAAGACTGCAGAATATACAACTGTCAACTCAGGCCGTCGTCTTCAGCAGTCTATCACTGAGATGTCTAACAACAGAAGTGGACTCCAAAGGCTTTCTTCCCTGGTCTCAGACAGATGACAAAACGTGTGTTTTCCGACTGCTAAAGCCAGCCTCGAAAGCTCCCATTTCTAACACCATCAACATACTTCCTCGGAGCATAATCTTGTCCGTTAGAAAGTCTTAGCAAATTCAGTAATCAAAACTAGGCTTATTAATAAGGCGGTTTACTCAGGGTAAAAATTACCCGAATAAGACTGCAGTCGGTGTTTAGGTACGAAAGTGACTTCACTGAAAAACAGTCGCTGCAATGTACAAACTTAATTCCTCTTGTTAACCAACTAGCTCCGATTACCCTGGTCGTTAGAGAGCATTTCAAATAAAAATAGCAACGTTCTGCGACAAAGGATCGATGCCATATTTGATTATGGCTTGAAAATTTATAAATAAAATCCGTCTGCGTTTCTGCACCGTCACAACAACACACATTTGATTATCAAAAAAACTTGGCAAAGTGTTTTTTATCTCCTGAGTTCATCGATCGCTGAGGTTCGTTCTATAAGTTCATTTACTCGTGTGACAAACCCTCATTCTAGATAACGTAGGTCGTTATCTTTGCAGTGAACTTTCCAGAAAGCATAGAAAAACGAAAAAATTCCCCTGGGTTTTTGTCATTTGATGGCCATAATGCGGCGACCCACTAAAGACAACATGAATACGATGCCTTCGAATTAGAAAGTCTTCTCAATCAACGAGAGGAAACGGTAATTTTAGAAGACCAAGCCTGCATTCCTAAATCAAACGGGGTCTGACTTTTAATCGCATTCACTACTTGGTTCGGATATTCGAGGTAGTAGGTGTGCAGACTCTTGATACCTCTCCTTCTATTTATTCAATCACACGCACCGAACGTAAATTGTAGCGTTACTTTGGCGCCGCTACGATAACCTGTTTTTAACATTCCCATTTCTGCTCCACACTGCGCTCTTTCGATGCTACCTGATAGCAGCTCAGGCCCTTTTCATTGCCGTTTTACAGGGGACTGCGCACTACTTGCCAGTTTTTAGTGTAGAGGAATGCATAATTGGTGCCTTGTGTGTTCGGATTTTTTCTCGACAATTTTGGCAAGTTTACCCAGTTTGGGTATGCACTGTAGACTTGGCGCAGCTTGGTTCAGGGAGGGTAGATGACGCGTAAGCTGATTGGCGGACAGCAATTGGCGCGGGCCATACGGTCAATGCGACCGGGTGGCAGCGAAGCCGAATTAAGGTCAACATTGTGCACCGTGCAGGGTTGAGAAATTAATGACGTTGGCCTACTTTGGTGCACAAGAGGGAGGAGGGGGGGGGACGTTAGTCGACGTGTTTGCTGGCCCGTAACCAGCCTCTTAGTTTCGTCTCATTAGGATAATTATGCATACTCGAAGGGCCAACTAACCTCCGTGACAGCCAGGAGCGAGGGTTAGAGTTGAGGTCAGTGGACGCGAAATGAGTCCTACGTCGAGGGAGATTAGTTGTTGCGTTCTCGGCGTGGGTTTGTCGAGCTAGCTTGTTTTATTACATGAGTAAACTATTCCTGTCAAAATGTTGACACAAATAAAACTACTGGCATCAGACAGAAAAGCCCCCGGAAAGCTAGTCGCTTTTTTGCACGTCGCGCAAGTCACGATAGGGATTCCGATACAACGCAGGGACCTTAATGTGGTCTTTCAGAGAGAAGTGTGGTGGTGTCCAATTTCCAACCCAGCAACCACTGGAAACGATCTTCACGCCAAAACGCCGACGAATGGGTACCTGACGGGTCTCAACTTAACCGGTTTGGTCAATCGCAGAGCTATAGCCCCCAGCTCTAAACTTGGACTTGCTGGGGGCAAGTGCAGGTGAAAGAAGCAGATCTCGGGCCTGAACACAGTTTGTGTCGGAAGGTTGAACGGAGACGCCCACTTCTGGGTACGCAGTTTGCCGAAAATCAACCTCAAGTTCAAAGCGGCGAGCCAGAAGCAACCACCGTCTAGTTACAACTGGCCTTCCGGTCGAGCGGACGGATGGGTCTCCAGATATCAGACTGATGACGCCGAAGATTAGCAGCGTCGGAAAGGGCTCCTCTGAAAGACCAACCAAAAATACATCGGCAGACTGAGGCTTCGAAAAAACCAACTGTTAGCATTTTCCTTGTTCAGTGCTCAAAATCCTGCGGATTGTTAAACAGTGGATAACTGAAAGTCAAACCAGCATTGTGTTCGGGTCGCGGAGAGTTTCTCGGCCGGGTGCCGTTCAACCATCATCCCCTTATGGGTATTTCATTGAAGAAAAGTTGCAACTGCGACGAAACTGGAGTGCTCCACAAAAAGGACGACTTCACACACACGTAGGGGCTGGCAACCTCCGAGTGGAGACGCTAGTGCATCATTGGTCGGACAGTTCAAAAGCCTGCAAAGCATTCAATAGTCTTGTCGCAGACGGATTGGTCATGCTCTTCCAAATGAGGGAGTTGATGAGGACACTTAGTGGGTTCTCACCTTCTACTTATACTGGTGCTGCCTTCATAGTAATTCAGGCAGATGCTGCGAACAACAAGTGTTCAGATCCTCTTGCTGGCAGTCTGACCGTCGCAACCGACGATTCCCACCGTGTGCTCTACAACAAGTACGGTGACTTGCGCGGGAATTAGTTTGCAGTGAGGGTGGACTTTCGCAGCATCTGCCGCACTCTCTCCTTCTCAGGCACCTGGGCTCGGTGTCAAGGCAAAGTCAGGGAGACCGAAGGCAGGGGAGGGGAAGGGTGCAAGCGGACGGCGCGGCCGGACCCGCACATAGGCGTACCACTCTACACTCCCTGATTCACGGCAAACACTTGATTAGGATTTTAACCAACAATAAGAACAACAGAAAGACGGGGATGACCCGACAACCATGCACGCGATCTGCATGCCCAGCGGGAGCGCAAGCGCATCTACCGGCAGAGAATAGGGCACCGGAGGACTGCCAGCGCACACCAGGCTGTGAGGACCGTGGTTTGCTGATCATGGCATAGCAGACGCACACAACCCTTGAGACTCGTTCCTCTACCTAGTGCTTACATGAAATGCTTCGCATGTGTGTCCTCCTGACAGTCCAAACAGCTTGCGGCACAAGAGAATCCTGAACCATATACCGAACCAGATAAAAATTTTCCGTAAGGACAATTAATTTCATCCACTCTCTGACTCCAGGTCTTAAGCAAATGTTTGGAAAGGGGTCCAGTTAATAGATCACCGGCGCCAGTAAGAGGATGCAGAAACGAAAGTAGATTCGATACGTATCATATCAATCTTGAAAGGTTTGGAGACAAGGAAAGTGTCAATAGACGTCCGTGTCCCACCCCTAAATAACTGCAGAGAGTTCCGTCCAAAAAGCGTTTAGAATACAACTTCCCGATCGGACCGAGCATTGCTGCCTTCTCTGGACGAAGCCCATCGTCTCAAAAGTCCTGACTATGCGGACAGAAAGGGACACATTGGGGACTGAAATAGCGCACACATACCTCGCACGGGTGTCTGAGCGGTGTAGTACTTCCTGTCATTGCGTGGGTCCAGCTGGTCTCTAGACCCCAGACGAGCCATCGTCATGTATCGGGTGGCGATGCTGGCGTGTGTCTGCTTCGAAAGGTTCATGTACTTCTTCCGCAACTCCATGGCCTTAAGCAAGGCCATTGCTGCCTCGTGCAGATCATCCATTGGGACCTGGAGTAAAAAGAACAGAAATAGATAGGCTTTAGACGATCGGATTGCGTTTAAATCGGTAGTAGTGCGTTGCGATAGACGTCCAAGTACACATTCTTGGAGGGCAGACGGGAAGCACAGAGAGCGAAACTGCGGAGCGGTTAGTAGAATAGAGGTGGCAGTTATATGCCCTGTCTGAAGAAACCACTCGAGAACTCTCAGCAGAGTTAAAAATATCCCATTAACTTTGGCGATACCTATATATTATTTCCGCAAACGGAATGGAGGACAAAATGCCCCGAAATCAGTTTGCCCAACCTCTTCTCTGCCTCCCCTAAAGTTACAGTCTGACAACTCCGTTTTGGGTGGAAGGGTCAGAGGCCAAAGAGCACATTCATCAGCAGGCGTAGCGAAACCACGGAAATCCTCCTCACTGAAGAGCTGTTGTCTTGAGGAGCAACCAAACGCCAAGTTGTTTTTGCCTCCAGAGACTATGGCTCACTTTCCTGGAGTTCACGCCAAAACCCAGGAAGCAGCGGCCAAAATCTCTAAATGTACTCATGCGAAGCCATTTTTCGTACAGCACACTTCGACGGCAAGTAGGTTTCTACAGTCTTTCCGTAAGAACCGAGCCCCTTTCAAAATGACCAGTTAAAATCACACAATATCTGGTTTGTAAACAATTATAAGATTTGTTGTGCACAAATGTCTGAACAAGACCGTTTGGACAACCGAGTTTTTTTAGTTTCGCCATCGAACCGCGTCAGGTATTAAATACTGATAATGGCAGCTTTTGGATCGCAAGGTGTCCCTCCTCAAGGGGAGTCCCCTTGGTTTTCTAGTCGCGACGGTGTAGTAACTCGTGCATCTCAGAGTTTTCGCGTGGAGCTTAAATGCCTGGGCGACCCGTAGAAACTAGTCCTTAGTCCAAGTCGACTGAGAAGATATTTTGCAATTTCATCCGAGGGAAGTAACTAAAACTGTCCGGCGGGGTTCGCCAGGTTTGATACCACTTTTCGCGCAAACGCTTCAGTTCAGCGGAAAACTGCCTGGTGCTCGCATCTGGCAGAAAGTCGCTTCCTTGCAATTCGAATAGAGACAGTAGCTGAAAGCTCAGCCACAGGGTTTCAGCGATTTCCTGAAAAGGCTTTCCGCCACACTACACGCTAAACACTTTTTGTGATCCCATTCTCAGCCCAAAACGCCTGTAGTGATGTTTTGCCTGGGCCTTAAGTAATCGGGCACAAAATATGAACGTCAGGATTGATTCAGTGTGCAGTTTGGGCTGTCAAGTGCTTAAGTCTTGCGGAGGCTGTCAAGCCATCGGATTAAGTCGAGTGAGAAGAGAAAAGCCGTTACGGCTAGGGACCAGGGATTATCATGTCACAAGAAAATCTGAAAACAGCACGAGGACATGCGGGGTAACTAATTTACTGGGGCTAAAGTCTAGGGCTTATTTCGCAAAATACGATATTGCAAAGGGATGACGATTAATAACGTCTTGCGCACTGAAAACATTGAAATAAATCAGAGCGACTTTTAAACCACGAAGACTAATTAAGGTTGGTAAATAACTGGAAACAATGAGGACATTCTTACTCCGAGTGCTGTCTGTGGTTAGGCCCAATAAATAACTGGGAATTTGTAATCCTCCGAAGGAACCCCAACGATGTTGGAACATATGTTTTACAAAATTACTTACAAAAAAAATCGAGTATACTACCAATGAAACATCTATTCGTGACTGGTCTCAGACGCCCTCGCACTTGTTGGGAAAGTCTTTCAGGCCAGCCATCCCCCTGAGTGAAAGGGGTGTGGTTATTTTCACTGTTTTCGTGGGACTTTAGTGCCTGTCTTGGCAAAAATTCACCTCACGGACACGTGCCACGCCCAAGAAAGTGTTGTTGGCCCCAAAAAACTGTCACATCCGAGTCCACCACCGAAAGACAAATACAGACTCCTTTCGTCTTATACTCCCGTCACTAGGAGCCTGTCTCTGCTAACCAAAGTGTCTAGAGGACTCCCGACATCCCTTCCCTTCAACAAATGCGCCATTTGCCAGGCCATATTTTTAAGAAATAAGGGGTTGGAAACCGCTGGATGTCTTGCCTACAAGGGCGTGGTCCTTGAGGCTTTGAGCATCCAGCTCTAACGCCAGTGATTGTTTTTGGTCCCTTCTATATCTCGGCGACTTTATTCTCTTTTGTAATGGCATGACGGGAGGAGAGCAGTTATCCCGCACAACTCAGCATGTGTCGTCCGCAGGGCGAGTAGCTTTTAAAAATCATGGAGTAGCTAAGTGCTCTCGCACACTGCCCTCACATCGGAGTCCTGACCAGCTGGTTTTATCTAGCAACTAGCTTTAGGAAATTTTGATTTGCCTCTCGTCGCCTGCGTCAACTTCCGTATAAACGTGTGCATTGTACAACGAGACGGCCTCCTGAGTAGAACCAGCAGAGAGTAGGCTCGTGGCTTGTGCTCGGAAATTCCTTGGACAGCCAAGTAGGACGGGGTCTAGACATCGCCTCTGTTCTGCCTGGGGTTGGAGTATGGTTGGCCGAAAACGGCGAATAAGCCAGAAACGACCACCACGATCTCTCTCTAGTCGTTCCTTATCACGCCTTAAGATGTGGTACTTGGCCAAACGCTTGCTCATTAGGTTGAATACTGCCCATAGATCGTCCATCACAGTTCAACCCAAAATCGCTTCTTATCGGAACTGTTTTTCTAGGAAAAAATATAATCAAAATTGGGGTATTTTCAGCAGGTGCGAAGAGATGCACTCAGACCAAACAGGTTTCAGAAAAAGCCAGATTACGGATGGACTGTTTGTACAGAAATTAAACTTTTTTCGGCAGGCTTTTAAATGAAAATAAATGTTTACGTAAGACTGCAAATTTAATTGTCAGTGAGCATAATTAGGTCATTTCTTCGGGATAGGATGGGAGCTTTTAGACGGAAATCGTTCCAATCACCTGCCAAAAGCAAAGTCCAGCGATTATTCGCATAGTCTACCATTCCTACGCGAACAGCATTAAGAAGTTAGGAAAGGGACAACATCCCTGAAATCAGGATTTTATCCTCCAGACGTTTGAAATTCACGCTCGAATTAATCATCACAGACAGCACCAGAGACCATTCATCAGACAGTATTAATAAATACCCATTCCAATAATCTTCCAAAACCACAAGGCTCCTTTATACAAACAGGTAAACTCATCAGATTTGGATTAAGGGTAGGGTAGTTTTGGAACCTTAGGAACAATTGGAGACGCAGAAAGTGTTTTAAACTATATAGAAATCGAAAAAGCCTCTCTCAGAATCGAAATAAATGCTTCCTGAGAGAACAGTATAAAAGATGCGGTGTTATATGATCTGGATGTAAGGAATGCTCTTTGGGTGTCCTCTTCATAAGTGACGAGTGACTTCATGCAGGCCTTGAAAAACGAAAGAACGTGCTAGCACTGCTAATTTAATCGTCTTTTCGGAGGGGAATTTAAACAGTTTGCTCCGTCGAGAACCAGTGTGCCATGGTGTAGAAAGTGGTTTCCCATCACATTCCTTCAAATCTCGCCTAGTGACTACTTTTGCCCATCTGGAAGAGCCTGCAGCAGCTAGGCCAACACTCCAAAGGCATCGATCTACATTGGAGTTCATCGTTTGAGATATTTCCCAGCAAATTTCAGTAGACGGTGGATTTTCTACGACACCATGGCAAAACTCCACCAACATTCGACCTTCCTAATAACTGAAACTGATTGCGCTAGTTTGTCTACGTGTACAACCGCTGATTTCCTTCTGCCTCTATCTTCGAAGGTCAGACAAACGTTCTTCTCTCGCGCCACTGCTGGTAAGCCGGCGCACTAAACTGAGAGGGAGCATGATGAAGAGATGGGCTAGGGGAGGCAAGGTGTTAAGGACAGGACCAGAGGAAATTCTGACAGTTGGACACCCACCGGCGCCAGACTTGTAGGCCCAGGAGGATAAGTTATCATCCGGCATGTAATGAAGCAAAGCCCATGGACAGAGGGAGACAGAGAGGAAGGGCGCAGAAACACTCCTCCCAAAGGAAATCCAGGTGGACACGTTGTCATGTTAATGCAAGTTACAAGACCTGGATTGGCCGTTTTGAAACAAACTGAACCTGAGTTTACTGACCACAACAATCAAGACGGTCAGTTGTTGACCCCTTTAGCGTTTAAACTAGTTGGAAAATATGAAATATTTGCTGGTAGAGCATTAAGGTAGCAGCACTCAACGGCTCCCAATAGGACCTCCTAAGCTAGAAGTCGACTTTTTTTTCGAGTGGAGATAAAAAGTTGATTTGTTTGCCCCACCTATGAGATGAGTATGTAAACATTGAAGTTCCTGGCAAGTAAGCCAGTCCTCTATTCACCAAAGGGCATTTCGGACATTCAACTGTCAACCGTTAAACGCTAAATGTGGTTACTCAGTAATCTAAAAAGCTCCCAGGCTAATTGAAATAGATAAGGTCGACGGATCAAAATTTTTGATCCGGTTGTTAGCTGTAATTCGGCAGTTGGATGAGACCGCAGTTGCTGGTTATAGCTCAACTACCGCTTTTAATGATATCTAAAGTGTCGATCAAGTAGAAAAAATTTTACAACCATCTTTCCACCTGGTCGCCTGAAAGGTGGCTTTAGGTTTCGGTTTGGAGGAAGCGATAATTCAGGAATCGATCATCAGAAAAAAAACCATGCACTACATAGGCCGTAATTTAAAGCACTTACACAGAATCATCCGCTTTAATCCTCAATATGTTAAGACGAACTCTCGGATTTGGCTTTTCACGCAGGGCTCAAGAAGGATTTAAAACTGGGTATTAGCGCAAGCAGGCAACGTCAGACTATCTTTGCGCAGACAGCAAAAACTGCTTTCTGCATTGGCCGAGTGAACCAAATTCTTCGATGCCCTTCTCGAAAGAGGGAGCCCTAAGCGCCGGCACAACTGGTGGCACATAGTGGAAAATTCCTTGTGAAATGCCCTGTGTGATATGGCGAATAAAGTGGGTCTGAATTTGGACGGCAAAAGTAATAACGGTGTAACGGAAAGGTGATATGGCAAGTGAGCCAAGACAGTAATAGGACAAGCAGATAAGGCTTCACTAACTCGTTGTTTTGTAAGCAAGCAGGGCCCCGTCCTAGAGATAGCAAGAAAGCCTCATCAAAAAACGGGTATGGAGTTTGATAGCGAACTAAGTGCATTTCGTGAGATGACGCTAGGGCCACGGTGTCGATGAGAACCAGTGCCCTCACCTGTCTCTCCCCCCCCCCCCCCAGGCGGCGGTGGGACGGGAGTAAATATACGAGTTTTTTTCAATAAAGGGTCTGTGCGGTCCGAAGAAATACAACTTCGCTAAAAACCCTTAGCAAGCATAGACAGCAGAATTTATTGGAACCAATATATTTCGCAACGAATTATCAACTGCAGCCTGACGTTACACAACAGCGATATCAAATGAGAAAGATGCAGAGGTTGGAACTTCCACAGGGAAAAAATCAAAATATAGAACAGCAAAGTCATCGTACACAGCACGTAGACTAGTCGATAAAGTGGTAACTTGAAAACGCGGCATAGGAAAGGAAAGTGGGAAGTTGACACGCCGAGTGATTTCGCAAATCAAAAGGGCTCAGATCTGCCAGGGCAAGCTGAGGTTGACCATGTGGTCCAACTGCTTACATAGGTCGGGTTTCTCCCGCCGTATGTAGGCTGCCTCCAAGTAGCGCAGTAACCGAGTTGTTCGTGCTCAAACTAATACTCAAAAAGATGTTTTGGGGTCAACCGAATAACCGTTATCAAGGAGGTGCTTTGTAATAGAAGGCCGTGGAACTTTATTCTCCTGTTTTAGAAGTCATTTAGGCAGGTGTCCAATAAATTCTGCTGTCTATGCTTGCTTTCAATCCATTACAGGGAAATGCTGCTTCAAAAAACCACTGGGTCATGCACTGACTCTCGGAGTCCATTGAAAAAGCTTGCCGCAAACTGTTTGGTCCTTTTCGAAGCCTGTCCAAACTTGCCGGTGTCTTATATTCCGGAATTCCGGTAATACTATAGCCGTTCTAAGCTTGGTCCAATTACCAGACCATAACTGCTCTGTTGCAGATGTCCAAATCGATCAATATTCGCTTTCTTAAGGGGACCTTTGCGTCTCAGAACTTGATGCAAAAGCAGACACTAATGGCTCACTCCCACTGATTGTGCGCCTTGGTCCGGCCATAGCATGTATTCGAATGCTGAGCCGAGCCATCTCCTCATTGACACGATTTTCTGGAACACTTCACCATAAATGAGTGTGATAGTGCAGTGCATCGTGCTTTGTAGAGGCACTGTCGGCTCTCTTAGGTTACCTCCTCGACAATGAATGGGTTATGCGCGACCATCTCTTGTACTGGTTGGGATACTTTTTGTCCATCATCAGTCCATTTTTCGCAAGAAGTTTTGAGGTTGAACAAAAGGTATCCACTGGGCGCCTTCTACACTGTGGGGTCGCTGCAACTAACGAACCATCTAATCCCTGATCTGAAGACAGATTAGAGAAAACATGATTCCCGCATTACCCACAACGGGATGGAGCTGCAATCTTTAGAGACGACCGTGCAAGAGATGAGAAAGTAGAAATGGCAAGAGTTAAAGACTAGAACACGGAACAGCAAAGTTGCTGGCAGAAGAAGACGCGGTCATTGGAACAAAAAGTTTATTCCCCTGACGTTTTGGATTCTCAATCGGATTCATCATCTGCGACCGTACCTGATGATGGGTTTGGATGAGAATCCGAAATGCCAGGAGAATAGATTCGTTGTCCGCATCTTCTCTTTATTTGCTTCCTGGAACTCGTCTCTTCGCTTCTATCGGCAATGCTGCTGGCGTTCTACCCTTTTTGCTTGTCATCACTACCGACTAAAGCTCTGGGCCTATAATGGCTCTGTTAGACACCGCATTCGCCGTAACAACAGCAGTAATAACCACGAAGACGCTGTGGCGGCGGCTTGTTTACCTGTGCAGTGCTTGGGACTCCGGTGTAGGTGCAAAAGATGGATCGTCCGGTGAAGCAGCTGCGAAACCTGAATCAACGCACGCTGCTGACAATGCTCGCCTGCACTTTTCAGCGTCTAACTCCCCTCTGCTGCTGCTAAGCCGGCTCAACCTGCTCAATATCCGGCTAGGCTAGGTGCGTCCACAGTGATTGTTTCCCGCCAAAATGCGACACCTACAACGATAGTCTGACCGTCGGACACCTTCCCGTACGCCCGAACGTTGACCCTCAAAGCCCTCCATCTCTCACCCGCATAATCTGTCCCCCGTCGGTTACAATTAGCAGACTCTGATAATGACAGTTAAGGAAGTCGACGACGGAAGTAACAATTACAGTGTGAGTAAGGTGAACCATACGTGCAAAGGAGGACTATTTAAAAAAGAAAAAGATGGGCTGAATTCCTGAAGAGCGTAAAAACTTCGCACTAGCAGTAACTAATAAGGATCTCGAAATAAATTTATAACTAAACGCGATGACGAATCGATTTCCTGCCCAAGGGTGGTTCTCGTTTCCGTCTTTCATGAGGGCCGCTAAAGAAAAGGCTATCGTAAGTTCAACTGGACTATGAAGTTGAATTTGAAATGACGATATCCTCTGGGATGTTTTTTATCCTTAGACTGTCAGACATCAGCACGACTTCGTTCAGCAAAACGGGAGCATCACAATGACTCGTTACTCGCTAGGCCGCTAAAATCGGTAGGATGCCATGGCAGCAATAAAACAGTTTGTACCTGTTGGGCTACAACAGCTAAAACGAAGAAAATGCTCCAGACACCAAATTCACAGCTCTCCCATCAAAAGCGGGGAGAACTAGCGTGGTCCGGAAAGGCAATTCGAATGTCGATTCTGACGACGTCCGCCGTGTACTACACCACAGGGTGAGAGCAGGCACAGTGACTCGCGCGTGAATGGGTCTACAGTGATGGCTGACTTTCAAAGCATATATCACACTCTCTCCTTCTCCCCAACCCGGATCCGGTGTTAAGACCGAGTCAAGAACTCGTCAAATTGTTTATGGTGAGGAATATGCGCCGAGACCGCCGACCTCGCTCTCTCTATTCCCACTCCCACCCACCAATCCACTCTCCGAGCCGGTCAGATGTCTGATGCCGTAAGTGAGCGCAGTGGCTGACAGAGTTAGATAGCTCATCTGCACTCGCCACGCACATGACTTGGTCCCCCATACGCACACACCGGGATTTTACACACAAGGGGATGGAAAGCTCAGATCTCACATGCAACAAAGGAGCCATGTGGGGAAAGAAGACGAAAAGCACACTTCCCACCTACGTGAGATGTGCCGATGATGTGGGGTGTTTGAGTTTTGATGAGGAAATGCGTGATGATGAGGTCATGTCCGCGATGAACTACCGAAGGTTTTTACGAATGTGCATGTGACCGGGCAGGCCTATGCGACGGCTGGAAGCGCGGGGACGGTGCGCGCAATGGAGGTGATGGTGTCTGGTGTGTGTCGGCGCCCCAGGCATTGGTTCGTCGGTCGTTGTGCTATGGATTCGCAAGTGGCCGATCAGGCCGATGCGTGAGGCGAATGTGCGGTGTGGGCAGGATAAGTTGGGAGGTGTTGGGTCGGTTGTTGTTGCGACGCTGCTAGCGGCGTGCGCTCTGTTCGATGGAACCTTTACTGGGCTGCGGACGAGTGGTATAGTTCATGTGCAGGGCACACTAGGTGTGTCGATACAGCGGTGTATTCCGCTCTCATGGATAAACATGTGACCAAAGAGGTCCATGCGGTGTACGAACGTGCGTGGACAGGGTGGACAATGAAGTCGGATGCGACGAGTATATGTAGGAGGTCCTGGCACTGGTGCACCGGTCGCAGCGAGATGAACTCATAAGTGACCGACCAGGCTGATACGTTGGATGAATGTGCGATCGCAATGGGAACACGTTAGGACCGAGTCCATATCGTTGAAGATCGGTGTGGTAATCGTAAGGGTGCTGATTAACAAGTCGTGGAGAGAGCTTTGCTCGGTGGTAGGAGTGAAGCTGTGGTGGTCGCCAACGTCGCTGCGTAAGTTATGGCAGGGTTGACGAAGATGGCGTTGCCTTGTCATATAACCATGCAATGACCGTGTGCAGCTGAATGAGAGGTCTCGAAATTTATGACGTCATTAAATTCTGCATGCTTTGTCGCCTTCGCCTTGGTCAAAAATACCTTAGTTTGGATTGCGTGGCTGAAGGGACAGAAATAGTCTCCCCCGGCCCCCCAATTATAATCTCGCCTAAAAAAGCAGCTTGGCCGCTGTCATCAAGGTGTCAGAAGTTGAGTTTGTTGAGTGCGTGGTAAAAGCCGGTAGAGAGGAGAAAACGTTGGTTCTGGACGTGCAACCAGGACTCGGGCCACTGCAAAAGGGACGAACCTGAAACTTTCACCACGGTCAAACGCGGACGCACGTACAAGTTAAACACCGATGGGTTTTGACTCCGTCGATGAGGTGCTGAAGCACGTGGACATGTGGACGTGGACATACTAACACAAACGCATGCACATAAAAACCACATCTATTACACACAGGGGTGACGATAGGAGAATGACTACGAATGTGAAGTCACACCTGAATTTCATCGTCCGGGTCGAAGAGGCTGGTCTGTTGGGTAGGGGAAACTGCAGACTGCAGAAAGTGTAAATAAGTCCGTAATAAGGATTGAAAGAATGTCTGAGGGAGTGGAGACGGAAAGAACGTAAAAAGATTAAAAAGTAGGGAGGAAAGTTCCAGTCAAGATCTGGGGGTTGGACATGGGAATAAGTACCCCTCCCCCAAAACTACGGACGACCTTGAGCAAAATCCCAGAGGAGCACCTTTCCTCGTGTCGTAACTTTAACCCTAACTCCCAACCCCTCTGGAATTTGATGCAAAGCCACCTGTAATACAGGGGAGTAATTACTCCCGTCCCCTACCAAGCTGGGTTTCCGTTCCATAGTGAAAATCCAGGAGAATGAGAGTTGAATAGGCGCGGGAACTTACGGGACACTAACTGACATTTTTACATGTGCCTTCAGGTAAAACAGAAAAAGTGAGACTGTCGTGTTGATTAGTATGAGGACCCCAAGCTACCGAATATATGATAGCATCTCTACTTTTGACTGAGAGCTGCTTCTGCCCCCGCATTCGTTGCGATCGGGAAAAAGACAGCGTGCAAGTAAGCACACCTGTATATCTTTTTCAAGTTTGCTTTTTGGCGTTTTGAAAACATGCTTCAGCTTTTTTCATATCCCACAACCACTTTGTCGGAAATTGGAAGGGGATATTTACGCCTAAACAGCGGAAATTACTAGAATTTCTGAGGTCTTCAAGTGCATAGTCATGTAATATAGCATGTGCGAGTTTATTAATTATGCCTGTGTGGTAAAGAACTCGTCTCATTTTTGATACAGCACTAAGGCTATCAGGAGCCCTCTTTACAGGAACATAGGGGAGTACATGACGTCAGAGAATACACAGTATGCACTTTGAAAACCTCAGGAAGGCCGATGGTGTTTCAAAACATCCATGAATGACCTAATCCCCTTAATATGCATTTTTAATTACCCCCAAAGATGGCGCAGTGAATGATTAAGATGAATTACACATTCATAGCTTCTAGAAATTCACAGTTGATGCATACAGGCGTTTCAACACCTTGGGAAAAAATTTGCATTGCCTGCACAGTGTTTTTTGCACTGTAATGAGCACGGATGGACCGAAAGTTTTGCAACTCAATGCCAGCATGCTATTAAGCCTAAGGAAGCACAGTGGAGGGTCGCACAAGACGATTAGTGAGATTTCGTGCCAAGTACACCCCTGCCAAAAGGACAAACGAATTGTGGAGTGGGAAAAGGGTGCCGGTCAGAGCAGCGTACAGAAGGATATTTGATGAGGCGTGGTGGCCTGTGTAGAATCTTGCCCACACCTGCAGTATCATCTGCTGATTGAAGACTGTAACCAAAGAGTGAACTGATCAGATCCCCTCCCCCCCCCTTGGAAGAAACCCGACGAGAAGTCTCTATTGTTTACAAATTGTGCATTGTAAACTGAGTCGGAGTATGTGCGTGATAGATTTTGTTTTTCAAGTTTCACGCAGTGATAATAAACTTTATCTGTAGAAAGGTGGAGGCTGCTGATATCCCTTTAAGTGCGACGACTGTTGCAGCTTTCAGATTAAACTTGGGATACAGAAGGCAACTAATCATCGTCTACCAAAAAGCCTTACTATATCATCAAGCTTTGCGCCACCTGGACCTAACCAGAGATAAGTTCCATCAGTCACCAACTGACCCAGAGAAAATAAAAAATGACGTGGTCTTGAGGAGCAACGCAAACTTTTCGAACATTGTTATGCGAAAAGACCCCTTTAATAAGGAATAAGTTAACAAGAAAACAACAGCGTTCGGTGTCCGTCCGCCTATAGTACAAATGCACATAACTTTTAGAACAATTTTGACATTTTCAATTGTAGTTGCAGTAATTGAAAGAAACAGGGACAGAAGGAAGGCCTTACCGCATATGTGTCGTCACTCCCAATGCAGACGCGTTGGTATTCGACAATAGGTGGCTCATTAATGGCAGCAGTGGCGGAGGTTGGGGTCTCCCGCGGTGGTACGCCCAAGGCGGTTAGCCCCAACGTCTCCCCTGACGCCAGAGGCTGAGAGCCGGCAAGATGACTTTCGGGCTGACAACGCCGTGGTGAAGTGGCTGTCAGCATGTCTGCCGTCTCCTCGTTGAAATCAAAAGTCTCAAAGTCATCCAAACCAGGACCGACTCGGCAACGCGCGGCAGGAGAAAGGTGAGCAGGAGGTGTTGAAGCACCGCGACCGGCTGAGGTCGCTGAGGAAGAGAGAAGGACACTGAGCTTTTCCAGGGCCTGCTTGTCCAGAAAACCGTCCTCGCTGGCGGTGGGTGAGGGAAGGTGGAAGCGGGCGCCTCCCCCTCCTCCGCCAGCCACCTCCTCATCAGTTCTTCCGTCCACCAGGTCTGCGGAAATGCCCAGGGGACTGCTATCATGGAGACCAAGAGAATAGAGTTATCCTCAAAGGCTGCTAAATGAGCTGAAGGCTGGCAACGAAGTCAGCAAATGGGCCCGTGTGTGTGAAAGGGTTTCACTTTGGTTGAAGTGAATTTGGTCGGTCAGCAAACACGCAGTTTGGTGAAGTAGTAGGTGGTAAAAATCACTAAAACGCCAGGTTAAGTGGTAGAAGAAGGTTTAGGTTATGAATGGTCCAAAGGAACTTCGTACATACAGGGATGCTTGCTCTTTAATTAACATCTCTTCGGCCACTGGTGAAGATCACACTCTTTAAAAAACGGCCGTTTAGGTAGCCTTCACTTTCCCGTCGATTTCAATGCATTTATAAACCCAAACAAATTTTCAGAAAAGGTCACGAAGGCATCCCTTCTCATATTCCTTTTGCATGGAATTACGTTTTATTTAAAGATTCTACTTGCTGAAGGGACATATTTTGGTTAGAAAAAGATTGAAATCAGGAATGATTTTAGGACCGTTAAATTGATACTGGAGTCAAATCGTACCGGAGTTCCTATTAATGCTTCACTTGGAATATAGGGTGCGATCCATATCTACTAGAAAACTTCGTGAGCGCTAGATGGCTTATTTTTAAGAGCATAGAAGAATATATGCCGTTCTTCAGGTGAAAAGTTTATCGCGTGTAATTTGAAACCCTAAACTCAGGTGCAGTGGCAGACGTTTTGGAACTATTGACAAATCGGTAGAGTTTTTTACAGTTAAAAGATACACTTCTCCCAAGTAAACATTTTTAAAAAGGCTCAATTTTCTACAAAACAGAGTGCAGGGAGGGATGTTTTTCGCATACTTTCTGCAAAACACATTCGAATTCATAAATGAATTAAGAGTCGCTGGAAAAAAGGCTGTACATGACTCGCAGGTGGCGACGTACTCAAAGTCCAACATGTTTGCATATATGAATCACCGTGGGGTTACGTTGCAGCACAATGAGTATTATGGGTTCAAGTAGACAATCTTCTCTAACTCCGGCTATATTTTTTACATTTCCGCCAGTTTTTCATGAGTCTAGCCACCGACTGTATGCTGTGTGTCACGAGATATACAACACCAGTAAGTAACGTCCTTTCGTGCACCTATATATGGTGCTAAGTTGGGAGTTCGCATACTCCTCTTTACACATTCAACCATTTCTTTGCATTTCGTTTCATAAAACCTAAATTACGACAGTCTAGCAGGGTGAAGCCAGACATAAAAGTCTCAGTTATGCCTCTCCATTCAGCTATATAAACAAAAGCATAGTAAAAAAATGTGCTGGAGGAACTGGAAGCAGTTTCGTGACCGTTGCCAGTCATCAATAGGGCTCAGTCATCCGCCGCCACGAAAGTTTAGCCTGTCTAATGCTAGGCTGAATAATAGTATCAGTAGCAGTCGCAAGGTGGTTGTCGACAGTTTTCGTTTACACTGTACTACATGCCTTATTGCGTGTTGTTTGGTTCCACGCAAACCAAATTGCGCAATACAGTAACTGGTCGCGCGGAAGGAAAATGTGGCATAACCAATTGTATCACAGGGTGTTTCAAAAAGCATAGAGGATTGAACGCAGTTAGATATCAAGACCCTGCAAAGAACGAGTCCCAGTGATAGTGACGACTTTTTGGCCGATGCGGTACATACAGTGACAGTGACACCTCCGATAGAATTGCATCACAGTGAGGGCGGCATCAGTAGCATCGACCGCAGCCACAGTTCTCAAATCCGGTTATCCTTCAGAGGTAAGAGGAGGTCAAGAGAACTGAGGAACGGCATGACTGCGAGGGTGATTTATATCGAATTTTTTATCGTCGAATACCATAATGACCTTGGTGTGCTCCAGTCTAGGCCCTTCAAACAGGCTGTGTTGCTGCAGAACCAGACCACCTATGAGCCATTGTGGCTTTTAATATGTGTTAGTCAGGCTGCTCTGAGTCTGCGTTTGATCTTAACTATTGCCACGCAATTGCATGGTACGTGTTGAACAGAGGTCTACGCCACGCTGACCACCGACCTCAACTTCATCACCAGTCGACTGATCGCTTCGGACAGGCTACTGCTTTGTGGGAGATGTAAGAACGAGTAGACGCAACAACAAAGGAATTTCGCATGATAACTTAATGGATTTTTCAATTTAATAGATGCAGTGGTTTGAAAGATATCACGACGCGCTAAAGTTGTGGCTTGAGGGGGCTGCCAGTTGACAAAACGACTCGGTTTTCCCGCTGAACGACAGTCCGACTGCAATGACCCCTTATTAATGTAGTTCTAATGAACCCTGTCATGCCCGTGAGATCCGAGGTCGTGTGGCATGTTCTAGACGACGAAAGCCCATTTTGATCCCGGTCGGCTTGACTCGAGCCTGCCATTGGTTCTTTAAAGAGAAAAGAGCGCATTAGGTCGATTCATCTTGGACTTTGTGCCTAGTGTTCCCACCAGAAACAAACATACACTCTTTAAAATAATCGCTGTGAGCCAAACAATTGTGACTTGGAAGGTTGGAGACTGATTGGGTAAGTCGGCCCTACTCGGGACTGGGGCGAGGTTGTAAGGATGCCTATTTAGAACGCCTGTAATGCGGCTTCGCCGATGTGAGATTCGTGACCCTCCTTTCTCACGCAAGCTCCTGCGTGGCACCCTATGGAATGGTTTGCCGAAATGCAAATAACGGCCGCTGATAGGTGTCTGTAATGTGGATAAGTGAAGAGATTTACTAAAGACCAGTGACAGGTTTCTTAATGACGGTCTGAGAAGAAGCTATGCTGGGAGGAGCTGAGAATCTGGCTGCCTACATGACTGTCAGTAATCGCGACCGCAACTATTTTTTTTCTAAATGCATGGTGAGAGGCGTCCTGCTAAATACAAACGTAGAAACGAGAGCTAAAAGTGAAGGCAGGAATACCAGTAGAACTTTTTTAGAAAAATCATGTTCGTGAATGACTGCGAAGAGATCATGCACTATAAAAGAAAGGTGTTTGGTCATTAAAGGGAGAAAGGTCGATATGTCCCCAATTCCACCTTAATTCGATTTCTATGCATAGCTTATGCGTTTGTGGAAAAGTTTCGAAAGAAAGCAATGGCGGCAAGGCCGGCACCATATACAAAGTGCGGTCTCGGCAGTTTCTCCAATAATAGTTAAGACGGATTCTACAGCCATCCCTCAACACCACTGCGCGAAGTCAACGCATGGTGCAATCTTTACAGCATAAAAACTGCTTAACCCTGTGACTCTTAAATCTGCGTATAATGGTTCACAATGAAAGATCTGGTTTTTCAGGAGACGAAAGGCGCCCACTGATCATATTTACCGTTCGAAGACAAGCAAAAAGTCAATGGAAAGATGATGTTTGCAAGTCTACCGCGGATTACGAGTCACACGTCATTGATCATAAATCCATCCTGTGTAAGCAGTATGTTGGGCGTGCGTTGGAATGCGAACTTAGCAGCCTCTTTGGAAATTGCAAAAGTGCGGCGGCCAAGATGATGGTCAACAAGAGAGGCCAGATTCAGGCCCACCAAAAACTTTGGGCCAAAACTTATTTGAACAGAGGCGAAATATCACATAATTCGGAAGTATTCTGAGACTTATTGGATTTAAAAAACGGCAAAAACACTCCCTAGATGGCACAGAAACAGTCCGTTTGTAAACTGAATATTGAGATGAAAATAAAAAGCAAGATATTAAAAATTATTGGACATCCTCCACCTCCAAGAACAATTATTGTGCGATTATTTTGCGCAGAAAGTGTGGTATAAAGTTTGATGTTTACCGGTTTCGAAGCCGTTCAATGAGACTATTGGCCAGCTCGCTGCGCTCAATCGGAAACAATGGCATATCGAATTCCTGGCTAGGCTCAGTGAATATCGAGCCGGCAGCGCTATGATCGCTTCGCTCCATGTTTTTAGCGATCGCGTTTATTTCATCCTCCATCGTCTGGCGATGAAGCAAACCGGAGATTCTAACTGGTTAGCGGACGCGGAAGGTAATTACGAAAGTTTCCTACAGAGCATAAAAAGACTGTTAAGATAAAATAAGGTTGAGAAAAATGCAGAACACGGATATGAGAAACCTTATTTTATACAGATTTTGCATGAATATTTTCCCAATGGCAGCATTGTTTCGACTTGTTGTCCTGACGAATGAACGAATTTTATTTCTATTAGATTCTGTATGAGTTGCGGACCAACAAACAGAAGTTGCAAGTGTTCACTCAAAAGTCTTATTGTATGACATAAATTGTCGAATCAATAAACAATTACAGTCCAGCTTTTGTTCCAAACGATAAAAATAGTGTAAAGTACCAGTGAGATCACAAAGAAAACATTACCTGTATGTTTTAATTTGGCGTAAGCCTAACCTGATCTAAATTTTGTGCCTCAGCCTAACAGAAGTCATTTTGTGCAAAGACAACCTGTGAATAAAATGAAAACAGGCCACGGCTGTAACGAAAAACTGCAAAATCCGAACGGATTTAGAGGTAGAAACTGTCAAAAGAGGACTCCCCGCCATAAGGTTTAGATTTTTAACAAAAGGGGAATCTGATTATATAGGTCTCCGTCTGCGTCCTTATTCATTGAGAAGCTCGACATAAGTAACGGTAAACAGCAGTGGCTGACGTATTAGTCAATTTTTCTATTCATCTACAAACATGTGTAAAGGGTGATTTTTGCGAAGAAGGGCAGATTTTTATGAATTAATAAACACAAGTGCGCGGCAACAGTAAGATAAAGGCTGATAGGCTGCTTAATTAAGCCTATCTAAAATGTTGAGATATAGTATGAAAAGAAAGGGAGCAGTCGCCATGAATTTCAAAAAAAGGAGGTACTGGGTTTACTGAAAAGCTCGTCGGCCCTTCGCCAACATCCATCTGTACTTCAAGACTTGAAACTGGAAGCTGCCAAATGATAGTGCAGGAAACATGTGGGAAAAAGTCTGCGGAGGAAAATATAAAGAAGACGGTGTCGTTCAAAACACTGATTCTTAGAATGAACAACATGGAAATAACGCATTTCATCGTCACGATGACGCCCGGGAAGCTGATGTAATAACGTTAAAAAAATTCCGTCAAAAAATTTGGAAAACAAGCTGGGAGAAGAAACACGCATAAATCTAACGTGATATCTCTAGACGACGAGAAAAGAGTCACAAACATACTTCACTCAACAAGGCATAATATCGTGTGAGATGGTTGGCAAGCTAATGGTACAAGAAGGGCGAGCAGTACGAGCAGGCTTGGCTTGCATCAAAAAAAACACATGTTCGTCTGCTCAAGGTGGAAATGAGAAGGGTGACGAAGTGCTTATGAGTCTTGTTAAAAGATGAACGGTGATATTAGAAGGAGCAAAGTGATACCGATTTAGGTATAAGGACAGTGAAAAATATGCGCTCTCCTCTACGACAGACATGCGATCAGTTATTACCACGGGAAATGTGTTAAGATCCACGGTGTTTGGCCTGTTCTCTACCTTATGTGCTCCAAAAAGGCCCCCACTTGGTCGTCTTTGCTGGGACGTGGAAAGGTTAAACCTTCTAATCTCTTCTGTTGTGGTAGATTGCATAGAAAACGAACACGAACTCGGGCAAATCGCCACCTTAGGAGTCGCCAATTATATGTGAGCAAAAGCTAAATATCTCAGAGAAGTTATGAACCGATTAGAAAGAAAACATAGCGTAAATTGGCACGAAGTCGTAAAAATATGCACAAATGGTCAAGCAGGTAGAAAGTTGTTGGAAGAGACTGGTTTAGGTAATAAATAGATCCCAATTATCGAAAGTTATCAGAATTTTTAAAAATCGTTTTCCATAATGCAACCCACTCAAGGAATTGCACGTTTGTCTCCCTTACCTTCAGAAGCAAACGCAAACTCCCATACATCTGGCTATTTACTTGACTTGAAGGCAGTCCGAAAACGTTGCTTTGAGGGTGGCGGACAGGCGAAAATTGTTAAAGTTTACAGTCCAGAAAACAAATGTGGTGATCCCGCTCCAAATCAAGTGGACAAACATTAATAAGACCTAGGGAAGTTGCTCCCACCCCGTTACCATAAATCCTCCCACGAGGGATTTTCACAGTCAAGCCTTGTAGTAAGGTGACTCTTGAACAATTTGTGTCAGCTGAAGGCTATATAACCTTGCTGGTGCATGTGAATACGCAGTTGGCAACGATAAATGCTTTAAATCAGTGTAATATTTGCACCTGTAGGATTTTCTGTGATGTACATTGTAGCAAGTAACTTTGAGTATCTTCTGGACAATGGGACTATCATTGCCTGAAACCAGCCACATGGGGACACAAACCAAGCTGCAACTAAAACTAAACAGACTAGACGAAGAATCACCAGCCAAATTTAAAGCGAGTAGATTGAACTCAACGGATCAAGACCTGGAGAAGTACGTTGTTTCAGATTGGAGAATCCACCGATCTAGCTATTCATAATCTGCGGATAACTTTTAGTATTTAATTTCGATCGTTTGCGTTGGAAACTAAAAGTGCCAGCCCCTGCTAATACCATACTTGCTGGGGCCACTTTTGTGATTAGCCGACTCTTCCGAGGGGCCCTTAGGGACTACCGCTGCAGGCACAATCTGTCCATTAGTCCCTTCACGTGATTGGCATCTGTTTCAGGGATGTGGAAGGAAGGCTGTTGCTCGCGCAGGCTATGAGGCATACACAAGCCTGCCAACACGAGCTACTGGTGCAAGGCCACCAATAAGCCAGTACGAAATTATCCGGCCCTGAGTCAGTCTACTGCCGATCTCTGCATATATGCCGAAGCTATAGTTTCCAATGTACGCACCATCACCCTCGTAACAAACCTGAGAAGTCGACTTCAGAGTGATATATGGTAAACTTTAAAAGTAGGTTGGCGTCTATAGACAAATTGTCTAGGTGGACCGAAAACCTTGATTTCTTAAATAACAAATACGGCCTGATCTGTGACCGCATAAAACGAAGTCCAAAAACGAAAGCAGACAAGGTGTCACAGTGGTACACGGTCAACACGGGTAAAATGTCGATTTTAACATTATTGCTACTAAGTATTAGGAAATTTTCATACCCGTGAACGGTTTACAGACTGACAGCGAAGGACCACCTGGCACTTGCAAACCAATATCCAGAAAATGACCTACGGGATGACCTTGCAATGTGTTTAATGTAAACTTCTTTGCAGGCATTCTAAACAGGACGTTTGGGTTCTGTTGCTATCCCTTTTCCGAAACCTTCATGTGCTAAAGCAAGACCCAGTCACGGGTATGTAGCAGGACGTAACTTGCGAAATTGTAGTGCAAAAAGTTTGTGAACCAAAGTCAACTAGTTAACAGACTAAATTTGGAACTTGACGAAACGGAGACATCAAGCCTCAAAAATGAATAACGCAGTTGTGTTTTCGCCGG